TTTGTCTGTAATTACGTACGTTACGCTTGAGTAAACTTCTTTGCTGAACACACGTGTCATGAGAGTTTCTCTGAGTCGAACGGGGTAAACCTTACATCTACATCAAGGACTTGGAGTCAATTATGGCAGCTGTTGTTACTCTATCACTACTGGGTTTTATGTTTGAAAAACTTGCTGAAATTCTTTTGAACCTGATAAAGATCAATCAAAGTAAAAGTTGTGAATAGAAATCACATTGCCACAATTTTTAAAACATCATTTATTGGTATGAAATGTCAACATGATCTTTGAATGCTTCAGGATTGTTAAAGAGGTCTACCACCATACCATCTGTCTGTTTACTTTAGTAAGACAAGGTGAAATAGATGTGGGTTATGGCAGGTCTACAGAACTAATCAGCTGCCAGGCAGAATGCAGATCACTAAACACAACTGTTAGCCTGCCAAATGCTTATTGTTACGGTTACTGTTAGCTAGCCAGAACTGGAGTTTCCTTGATCCCTTAGTGCAGAAGTACTCAACCTAAATTCCTAGGACTGCATGTGGCCTCCAGAGACTTCCAAACATTGTTCGCAATTATCCTTTTTAAAGTGACAGAAGTGGAAATTATTAAATATGCTCTATAACTAAAAGTAATTATATTCATGCCATTTAATTTGCAAACAAAACTAATTTAGTTTTGAGGTCTTGTTTTCAGCTATCATTTTTGGAGTGTGGCCTCAAGCCTGTCACTGATAGGCAAAAGTGGTTCTTGGTCAGAAAAAGTTCAGCATGTTTTTGTTTGTGGGCTACCCTAAATTTGGGGATATTCCTGCAATATGGATAAAATCCATATACAATGGGGTGGACTGATTTTTTTCTAACTTTTATTTGGGAAAAGAATATACACCAGTAAAGTGTTTGCAAACCCTTCTCTCCATGTATCATCTAATAGAAAGATAGATATTTTGCAAATTTCAATAGAGCCCTTGTCACCATTTTTCTGCCCTTCATTGTTCATCACATTGTACATCCAATTCTATTACCAATGCCATTAATTATTGGAAATTTGTTGTGTACTACAAGGCCTTATGCTAATAACACTGACATTCTCTCCCTTGCATCTGAGGATGCCAGCCTCGCATTCAGACATAGTCCGTTGGCCAGAACTTCCATTCACCCTGACACAAATGCTTGTTCCAGTTTCGCTGCATTGTCCAGCTTCTCTGCATATGCATTTGTTGGTGGACTCTAAATAACAATTGTAAAGTAGTAGGTTAATGCAATGAAAACAAAAAATCAGATCTGTAACAAATAAACCAACCAAATCAATTGATTAAGTGAAAGTGGTAGTTATCAAAAGAAGCCAATTAAACATGCCAGTCAGGCAGAGAGGGCATGTTGCGGGTCCCGTCAGCGAGAGAATGTTGACTGGTGGGGCCCAGGAGGACAGCCTTCTCTGCCATTGCTCCCGTCCTTTGGAACATTCTCCCCCCAGAGGTGTGGCAGGCCCTACCCTACCAGCCTTCCAGAAAAAATTGAAGACCTGGCTCTGCCAGGTTGTGTGGGGGGATAACAACTCTACCCAATCCTGGGGATGGCTAGCGCCTCGATGACGCTTCCTGAGTGATCGCCAATTACTTTGGATCTTTTTATTTTGTATTTATTATTGTAATATTGTAATTTTAAGTGATTTTAATTGTTTTGTAAACTGCCCAAAGTCATTTAAGAAGATGGGTGGTGACAAATTCGATAAACAAACAAACAAACAAACAAACACGTTTAAGGCTCAAAAGATGTATTGGGAGCTTTCACCAACTATCTAGTGTATTTTCCCAGGCAAGGGTAACCACAGGGTATGGTCATAAAAAGTCAAGATGGTGGCCATGATGATCAAAGCTCCAACCATTTTTTATGTGCATCATGTGTATACACATGCAACACTCAAAAAACAGGCAGATATTTGACCACACTGCTGTAGCTCCCACCTGACTTTTATGATGACACCCTGTAGATACCCTTGTTTCCAGAACAGAACAAGTAGCAGCAACAGGTACAACAGGTCAGTAAACTATTATGTGTGTGTGTGTGTGTGTGTGTGTGCGTGTGCGTGTATTACTTCAACTCAGTGTTGACTCCTGGAGACTGCCTGGACAAGTCCCTGCAGTTTTCTTGGCAAGATTTCAGAAGTGGTTTGCCATTGCCTGTTTCCTAGGGCTGAGAGGGTATGACTGGCCCAAGGTCACCCAGCTGCCTTCATGCCTAAGGTGGGACTAGAACTCATGGTCTTCTGGTTTCTAGCCTGGTGCCTTAACCACTATACCAAACTGGCTCTCATAAGCTATAGCTTTCCTCTAATTCCTTTCTCTACTCTTTGCCTTGGTCATAACCCTTAATTTTCCCTCTGCATGGTTTTGAAGGGCATAATAGGAAACATGAGAACTCTCCTGAGAAAATCTGAAAGGACAAAAAATCCGTCTAGGAATTATTTTGTATTTATTATTGTAATATTGTATTGCATGAAATCTAGGAGGCCAATGGTCCCCCTGATTCTTTGTCAGAGACAGACGGGAAGCCCTGCCTGCCACTGCTCCAAATGTACATTCTCTAAGCCAGGAAGTAAGGAAAATCTCTTACCATTACAGTTCTCCCACAACTGACAGGATCCACAATTTCTCTCAGATGTGGTACGAGCTCTGCAGTTTTGCTCACCCACTAAAGTGTAGTGCCTACCCCCACATTCGAGGGCATGTAGCTTGCAAATGGTTAGCCATATGCTTCTCTGAGTTTTTGGGTCAATAGCACAGACATCCAGGGAAGATCTGGAAAGGAAAAACAATAACTCCAGCAAATCACCCACAATGGTCTTATGACTCTTAACAGCAGGAAAACACCATCTGAATCCCCCAGGCTGTTTGTCATCCTTGAAAGCTTTGGGCGCAGCCTCCAAACTCTGCTGCCGAATTGTAATTCTTAATATGTTAGAAGAGGAAATTATTACACACATGGCGTTTAATCATGTTAATTATCTTTAATTTAAATTAGATGCACACATTCACTGACTAGCATGATGTCCTCCAACTCCATACATTTTCCAGCTTTATGGTGGAATTCAAGGGCAGGGCTTAATGCAGCCTGGGCTAGAAGCTGTCAATGGTCTAAAGACAGGATTGCCTTCCAGGATATATTCTGGATCCAGAAGATGACAGTGGGTGAAGCCCTACTTCTCCTAAAACCCCACCTCTCCCATAAGCTCTTCACATTCACTGTTTTGGTAGTAGAGGACAAATAAATAGTAATAATTTCCTCAAATCAAGCTGAGCATCTGGTGCTTATGTCCATACTGTTTTCTTAGCAATAGTATGGAAATGCTTTGCTATTGCTTTCTTCTGAGATGGTTTTTCAACTTCTTAATCTTGTCTACAGTTCTGGGATCTCTTGGGGATCCTGCATACAAGTGCTGATACAGGCCAACCCTGGTTAACTTTTTTGAGGTTGGCTGGGTGCTGACACCACTATGACTGGAACTTTATTTCCAAATTATTCTGTGCCTCACTGTGCATGTGTGAAAAGATCTTGTGTCCATGCTCAGAGTAGTCGTTTGATACCTCTCTGGAGACAAGGAAAGAAGCAGAACCATGCTTATTTCTGATTTGTTTGTTTGTTTTTTCCACACAGGGAAAGAAACTACAGTGATTCCTACCTTCTTCTGTACTTGAAGGAAGGGAATGAGGAAAAAAGATGTTTGCTTAATGTTCCTTGAACCACATTTTACTAGTGGGCTGGAGTTTTCCCATGCCAGGTTTAATATAAAAGACATTACATCTCCAAAATCTCAAGCAAGGTCTTTATCAACCATACTTGGATCAAGGGGGGAACACTAGAGATTATATCTCAGATCACTAGACTATGAGCCTTCTCTTATTAACCGCAAGAAAAAAGTAGCATTTTTTGCAAATGAAGCTCCAAGATTATCTCTCCAAGGCTCTCTAATCTGTCCAGGACTCACACATCTAGAAATTTAATTGAACAGAAATTGGAAATCTACTCCACTCACCTACATTCATTTGGCAACTTACACACACACTGAGTCTCATGAACTCTCTCCCATGGTTGGCACTGAATCACTGTTGGATGTGTAACTGTAGGGGCAACTGAAGTGAAAGAAGAAACAGAGTGTCACTAGAAGAGAATGGGAAGCCAAAGAAAACTCCCCCAGTATAATCTCATGAGTTTCACTGGGGGAGGATTCATAGACCAGTTCTGAATAAGGGATACGGCACCTTAATGACAAAATTAGGGTTCACCTTTTAGAACGGGTGCCAGTGTTATGGCTAATGAGAGCCCAACTACATAACAGCTGAGGTCTTGTGCTTATAATCATCAAATGTTCTGTATATTACAGAAATTGTTTAATTGCTACTGCAGTAATAGGAAGCTTTCAACTGTTCCTCCTTTACCATGATTACAACAAAAATTATGCCCACCATGCACTGCAGTTAGGCTTGGGAAAAATGTCCATCAATGCCCATCCAATTTTAATATTTGCATTTTATGGCACGCTGTTGTTTTATGCATATTATTTTATATTCTGCTGGAGAGAGCAAGACTTTAAGTACTCTGTGCTTATTGCCTCGGTTCTCACAAGGTAGCAAAAAGGATGGCAACCTTTAGCTAAATTTAATAACAGACCAATAGTAGTGGGTGAAAGAGAGAACTCAGAGACCAAATTGTCTACAAGTTCCCCTCTCCCAAGTTGCACTTTTGAATCTATCTCCCATTTAGCCAAATCCTAAATGGATCAAAAACTATTCCAGTACTTAATATAACATTTCTTCTTGTGATCAACACATCTGGAAAAATGAGAGGTGGGTAATTTTTCGGCAATGTCAGTGCCAAGACTGAGAACTGGATGTTATAATGCATTATTGCTGCCATATACTTTTTAGGCCTCCTTGCAGCATTTTGAAGCCCAGCTTCCTGTCATTGCAAGAAAATGGGGATTAAAACAAAATGTTTAGACTATAAATTGGCTCATTAAAAGCAACCATTTAATGGAATGTAATTATTGCACTCAAGCAAAAATGGAGGGTGCACTTGACTTTAAAGAAAAATTATCTAAACTTCATTGAGCTCAGTACACAATTTGCAGTGATACAAAATGTAGATACTAAAACTGAATATATCTTTGGACAGGCAGTGCTTGGATCAGGACTGGCTCAAGACATTTTGCTACCAGAGTCAAAAAGAGGGTAGTCCCTTCATTTCATGTATAATAGTTGACTGGATCAGCAACTGGATTGACTTTTGGGTTTCTACTACCTCTGAAGGTAGCAGACTAGTTTAGGAGGTACAGATGATGATGATGATGATGATGGTGATGATGATGATGATGATAGCATCTGATAAACTGATGCAATTTTATTTTAACTATTTGGACATACCTTGCTTTCTGCAGTGGATATTAGCAAGGTCAGGAGACCATTTCAGACTAGGCTCACATAGAAGAAGAGATGCTCCTACTAGCTGCATGTCATTTGGGCATGACAGGTGAACTTTCTCTCCAATCTGGTAGGAAGGTTTCACCGGATTACCACTCAGTCCTCCTCCAAACGTTGGTAAGATACAAGCTGTTTCTAAGAAAAAAGGAGGAGGCACAGACAGAAATATTTTCAATTGCTGTTTTCTATTTTCCTATTAAAGAGAATAACCCTTAACTTTTTCAAATGCATCTTGAAACTGAGTCAGAAAATAATAGAAGTGATGTGTCTGTGCTGTACAAAATGTGTATATATTGTTGTTGTTCAGTCATTAAGTCGTGTCCGACTCTTCGTGACCCCATGAACCATATCGCGCCAGGGCTTCCTGTTCTTCAC